TAGAAAAAAGCCTTAGTTAACTGGACGCTGCCAATTTGAAACTCTTGGACTGGTACTATATTTGAGTTGTAATTAGATTTCAAGACGCTTTTGAAAAAAAAATTGATGTTAAAGCGCCAACAAAATTCAGACAGTTGCTAGTGGCAGTCTTCTGTCTCGAAGAAGACTTCCGGTAGAAGTATGAAGTAGAAAATCAGTAAATAAACATTATATAATCATTTAGAAGAACTGAAGTAACGATGATGAACATAAGAAATTACTTTTTAATATCCATTTTGATAAATCATCACGTTTGAATAAATTAAAAACTATTTTGATTAGAGATTAACAAAATAAGCGGATGAGATATTCGGAAATACTCGGAATACTTCAATGATAGGCTGGACATTCATTCGTATCTTAAAATCTACTCATTATTTGACTTATCCTGTGTATACATGTATATTGAACACTTTATGCTTGTTATTAAATCATGAAGGCTTTCTGCGTCAAAGGTAGCTCCTAATGTCATATTACAATTGTACGAGTACTTATTTTCAAATATAGGAGAGTAATTACAATAATTTGAAAAACATACGAGATACACGTATAAGAAAAGATCTATTTCAGATACTTCAGGATATATGATTGGTGTCGAGATTTATCGAGTCAAGATTCACTTTCGTAACGACCAGGACAAACCTCCGATCCCCAAAATCAACCATATATTCGAATAATCCTTTTTAGCCTAGTTTTATCATGTTTTTTTATATTATTTTGACATGTACCATTATTATTCTTTCCCGACAAAACAGCTTCAACTTGTAATTTAGGTTTGCCGCATCACCGCCTGTATTTAAAGTAGATGTTGCTCCGCGTAAGAAAAGTGTTCCAGTAATTTCCTTAAATAAAAAACCTTTTTCACAAATACTCAAATTAATTTCCACCAAACAATTTCTTTCACATTATTTTACATACTTCAGCCAATAATTAACATAAAATGCAATTAAGGTAGAACGCGACACTAGCGTCATGTAAAATGTTGACATATTTCAGATTAGATTCCGTTGGATTTTTTTTTAATAATTTCAGCCAATTTTTGTACAGGTCGTCAAAGTTGACCAACAAAGAACCGTTCGCTGCGTATCCTTGACAACTGTTACGGGTACTTCCTACCAACGGCAAAATACATTATCTTAAATGATGCTGTATTCAACGGAAATTGTTTTTATTTTTTCTTTATGCTGAAATTTGTGTTAAAATTCCGCCATAAATGACATTATGACCACTGCAGATATACCGAAGTGTACGGAATTCTACATAAAGTTTTTATAAATAGGTCTGAAATTTAAAATACGGAGGTGTACAGGGCCGTATATATCATGCAATACGTACATGACAAATATCGTTATTCGTACATTCGAAAATATACGGCAAACTTTATACTTTACTTAAATACGGATCTTTTTATTAAAAGTCCGCAAATTCCTAGCATACAAAATTTCGTAATCTTGCAAATACGGATTCTGTATACAAAAATAAAGAACCAAGATGTAATCCTGAATTACCATTTTCTTTTAAAGGAAAGAAATAGTGTGATCTGACATTTGTCAGAAAACATAAAAAAGTAAAGCTTTAAATAAATGTAATATTTTCCGGTTTTATTAACATGTTAATTGCATACTGATTATATGGTCAGTGAACAGAACATATAAACATCAAAAAAGCCTCGACAGTGTCCGTAGCAAGTACAGACAAAAGAACCTACTCAAATTTCCCATTTTTTTCCCGAATGGAACTGTCCTGCACTGAAAGAAACCAACTAAACTTGATGTAAAGGACAATATTTAAAGAACATGTTTCAAATGTGTATCTTTAAAGATTTTTGTTTATTCATTATCTACAATTTGAGAATGTTTTCTTTTTAAGGCAACAATGAGGCATACAAATGTGAAAAAAGAACAAATCTGACAAAAGTTAAAAAGATGACCACTTACGGAAATTCATTTGCAGTGTAATATAACGTAACGTAACGTCAACATGCACGTCAGTGTCAATGACCATTAAACGTTGGAAAACATGACAGTTTTGAAAGATTATGTTCAATAAGTTGATTCTTAAAAAATGTTCAATAAAATTGAAATTCTTGTTGAATTTCGATCTTCGAGCCAGCTCGAAATTCAACTCCAGCTCGAAATTCGGGTTTTGAAAATTTTGAATTTCGATCTTCGAGCTGGCTCGAAATTCAACTCCAGCTCGAAATTCAACTTTTGAAAATTTTGAATTTCGATCTTCGAGCCGGCTCGAAATTCAACTCCAGCTCGAAATTCAACTTTTGAAAATTTTGAATTTCGATCTTCGAGCCAGCTCGAAATTCAACTCCAGCTCGAAATTCAAATTTAGAAAATTTTGATTTTCGATCTTCGAGCTGGCTCGAAATTCAACTCCAGCTCGAAATTCAACTTTTGAAAATTTTGATTTTCGATCTTCGAGCTGGCTCGAAATTCAACTCCAGCTCGAAATTCAACGTTTGCAAATTTTGAATTTCGATCTTCGAGCTGGCTCAAATTCAACTCCAGCTCGAAATTCAACTTTTGAAAATTTTGAATTTTGATCTTCGAGCTGGCTCGAAATTCAACTCCAGCTCGAAATTCAACTTTTGAAAATTTTGAATTTCGATCTTCGAGCTGGCTCGAAATTCAACTCCAGCTCGAAATTCAAATTTAGAAAATTTTGAATTTCGATCTTCGAGCTGGCTCGAAATTCAACTCCAGCTCGAAATTCAAATTTAGAAAATTTTGAATTTTGATCTTCGAGCTGGCTCGAAATTCAACTCCAGCTCGAAATTCAAATTTAGAAAATTTTGAATTTCGATCTTCGAGCTGGCTCGAAATTCAACTCCAGCTCGAAATTCAAATTTAGAAAATTTTGAATTTCGATCGTCGAGCTGGCTCGAAATTCAACTCCAGCTCGAAATTCAAATTAAGAAAATTTTGAATTTTGATCTTCGAGCTGGCTCGAAATTCAACTCCAGCTCGAAATTCAACTTTTGAAAATTTTAAATTTCGATCTTCGAGCTGGCTTGAAATTCAACTCCAGCTCGAAATTCAACTTTTGAAAATTTTGAAGTTCGATCTTCGAGCTGGCTCGAAATTCAACTCCAGCTCGAAATTCAACTTTTGAAAATTTTGAATTTCTATCTTCGAGCCGGCTCGAAATTCAACTCCAGCTCGAAATTCAACTTTTGAAAATTTTGAATTTCTATCTTCGAGCCGGCTCGAAATTCAACTCCAGCTCGAAATTCAACTTTTGAAAATTTTGAATTTCGATCTTCGAGCTGGCTCGAAATTCAACTCCAGCTCGAAATTCGCCTTAAGCTTACTTTGAATTTCGATCTTCGAGCTGGCTCGAAATTCAACTCCAGCTCGAAATTCGGGTTTTGAAAATTTTTGAATTTCGATGTTCGAGCTGGCTCGAAATTCAACTCCAGCTCGAAATTCAGCTTTTGTTTACTTTGAATTTCGATCTTCGAGCTAGCTCGAAGTTCAAAGCTAGCTCGAAATTCACTAGAAACTGAATTTCGATCTTCGATCTTCGATGTCAGTGCCAACTTCTCGATACTTAATAAGAGATGGTGATTAGATTAATTATATTGCTAATGGGTATATCATTAATTGTGCTATTGAATTAATTGTGCTATTGAATTAAATATTAGTATTATAAAATTAAAAGCAGTGCAAATATTTACGTATCGGTGACAGTATTATGCACTATTCAATTTAAACCTTTTTTTTAACTTGCTGAAACAGCCAATCATTTCAATTTAAAGATCCTGTAACACATTTTTTATGGTTTTATAGCATGAATATGATGCCCAAATTGAAATTGATCAATTTTGTAAGTTCCAAAAAGCATTATCTATAAAGGTATTACCGAATTTAACATATCATGTAAATAAAGGGAGGTAATAACAAGAAACATGGCAATGCCATGAAACCAGGTTTTCAATTATCACCATTGTAGATGAATATGTTGTATTTGAAATACAACTAAAAGCAACAAACAATGTAACTATGTGCGATGTAAAACATGAATAATGTAGGAGGAATTGCCACAGAAGAAGTGTTCACTATATATTCTGTATAAGGAAAAAAACAAAGGGCCATAATTAGGTCAAATATTATCCAAACTCAAAACCCCGACAATATGCCCCAGGACACTTGATGAAAAATTTTGTGAAAGTTTGGTCAAAATCCTTTGAGAAATGTAGGAGGAGTTGCGCACAGAGGAAATTGTTCACTATATGCTCTATATCAGGAAAAAAAACAAAGGGCCATAATTAGGTCAAATATTATCCAATTGCAAAACCCCTATAATATGCACCAGGGTACTTGATGACAAAGCTTCTGTGAAAGTTTGGTCAAAATCCGTTGAGAAATGTAGGAGTTGAGCAAAGAAGAAATTGTTCACTATATATTCTATATGAGGAAAAAAAGAAAGGGCCATAATTAGGTCAAATATTATCCAATCGCAAAACCCCGACAATATGCACCTGGGCTGTTGATGACAAAGCTTCTGTGAAAGTTTGGTCAAAATCCGTTGAGAAATGTAGGAGTTGCGCACAGAAGAAATTGTTTGCGTCCACCCGCCCGCCCGCCGACATACCTCAATCTAATAACCAGTTTTTTCCTTTGGAAAACCTGGTTAAAAATTATTTTCTATGAAGACTAAGTCAACTTTTTCAATAAGAAATGGATGCATATATATATGCCCGCCGACATACCTCAATCTAATAACCATTTTTTTCCTTCGGAAAACCTGGTTAAAAAATTATTTTCTATGAAGACTAAGTCAAATTTAATTTAATTTAACTAATGATTACATATAATATGTACAGATATTTGCAGTATATATTTTACATATTCTTCAATGTTTGAAAATTGTTTTATAAGCATAATTATATAATATATATACATGTACATTTGTAATTTCATTCAAGTGTGGTATACAACCTAAATTAAAACATACAGGATCTTTAGTCACTGTTCATCTTTTTATATTTCTGAAACTGCTTATGGACATTTATAAAAGGAAAGTTGTACAATATAAATTAATAAATGCAAGTGAGCGTAAATTGTACGTACGTTTCGAGAAGAATTTTTTTATTCCGGGAAATTCTTCATCCGACGGGTTATACCCGTTTTCTTTCAGAGCTGAATAAAAATCGACTAAATGATTCTCAGAACATTTTTCAAGTATGTCAAGTAGGACTGTAATACCCATTCTTCCGGCATGTTGAAGACTTATTTTCAAGAATTCTTCACCACTAATAACCATCTTTGATAAAAGACTGGCAGCAATATCATTTGCATTTTCAAGTTCCCGAAGAAGTAAATCTCTTTGTTGGCTGGTGAATTTGATAAGAGGTTTGCCACCATTTGGTCTTAAACATTTTCCTGTCATTGATCCTTCTAGTTCTGATAAAACTGAAGAAAAAAATGTTTCATTACGAAGCTTGAAAGTCAAAATGTAATAAATCATAAGATACATGGAAGATACATGGAATTTTATACCAACGAGTAAAATAATTTTTATATTTAATTGATTATACCACATAGCGCGCTTAATATAAGCTTTAAACTTTCGGGGCGTGAAAGACTGTTTTTATTATAACACTTTGTCCATTGTTTATAAACGTTCGACTTCACTGACTGACGAAAATTAATAGAACTTGCAGATGATATATTTTCTATGACCCTTTACCAGTGAAGTATTGAATTTCTTTGACAGTATTACACAGTGACCTTCTTTAGCACTTCAGAAGTTGTTGGTCTCTAATTTTAATCTCATAAACCACTATCAATGTATGTTTAAACATTTATTACTTTTATGTAGTTTGTGTATTACTGATTTCCTTTTCATTTTTGGAAAACATGTATCGTACAAGCTTCTATAATATATTTGTTTACATTGTTTACAATGTAAAATTATTAACAAAATGTTTATAACTACATTGCCAAAGACTGATTATGGTGTGCAGGATAATCTTGTATCCTCTCTGAAAAGTGTGCAAATAATTGCCCTGCAGAAAAAACGTAAAGTTTGTATAATTTGCTGATAATAATATAATGTTATACTCGTAGAAATGAACATTTTCCAAAGCTAAATATCGTAATGACACAGTTACCTTCTTTCGCACTTTAGGAGTGTTTGGTTCCTTATTTCTGTCTCATTAATCACTATATTGATATATGTTTATATAACACATTGGTGACTCTTATGTGGTTCTAGTCTTACCAATTTTCTTTCAATTTCGGAAAAACATGTATCAATTCATACAAGATACTAAGAGGATATTCTTCGTTTTTCGTGAAATATGGAATATATTTTCACGAAACATGATAAAATGCCACATATTTTCACGAGCCGGGACGAAAAAACGAAAAAATAACCTTTTTATTTAATTTCATTTCAAAGAAAAATGGTAACGAACCCCCATGCTTGCTGCAATTGTACAGCGCGCAGTAATAATTATATTACTTATAGTATGCGTCTTGTTTTACACGCGATATTTGACGCTATATTGTGACGTCACATAAACAACTCTTTAAACGTCTGTACAGCGTTAATGACTGAATTAAAGATATTGGTGTTCGGATTTATTTTCTTAGTTAGACAATTTTCTATCATTCTAGATAGTTTTCAAAACAAAATTCAACAAAAAGTTGTTTTGTATTTATCAGATTTTTCAAACAAAATGGCGAAAGAAGTCCCTTAAAATAAATATGAGTTTTGACTCCGCCCACTTTCATATTTATATTTCATATTTATTTTTAAAAAATATGAAATATATTTGACTGATATTAAGAGGATATTTTTTCGTTTGAGTGAAATATGGAATATATTTTCACGAAACATGATAAAATGCCACATATTTTCACGAGCCGGGACGGCGAGTGAAAATATGAGGCATTTTATCATGTTGAGTGAAAATATATACCATATTTCACGAAAAAAGTAAAATAACCTTTTTATTTAATTTCATTATCAAAGAAAAATGGTTATGAACCCCCTTGCCTGCTACGCAACTGCAATTATACAGCGCGCATTAATATAAGTACCGTCTTGTTTTGCACGCGATATTTAGCGCTAGATTGTGACGTCACGTAAACAACTTTTTAAACGTCTGTTAAGCGTTAATGACTGAATAAAAGATATCGGTGTTTGGATTTCTTTTCTTAGTTAGACCAGTTTCTATCATTCTAAATAGATTTCAAAACAAAATTCAACAAAAAAGTTGTTTGTATTTATCAGATTTTTCAAACAACATGGCGAAAGAAGTCCCTTAAAATAAATATGAGTTTTGACTCCGCCCACTTTCATATTTATATTTCATATTTATTTTTAAAAAAATATGAAATATATTTGACTGATATAGCACCATATTTCATAGGTAAAATTAAATAAAGCACCATTTTTTCATGGGTAAAATTAAATAATATCGTATATTTGTTAAAATTGTTCAAAACAAAATAAAAATCATAAAATGTAACAACGAACAGTAAACACATGACTTTATGTGACTTTATAACCTTTGCTATGTACAGTTTAGATCCAAAATTTATACAGTCAGTTTATTGCATATAATTAACTATGTATTGCAGGTTTATTCCTATCGTCTTTTATAACTGTTCTTCGGAATTTTTACACAAGACTTTAAAAGTATGTATATTTTGATTTTATAGTTTCCAAATGAATTCAAAATCACGAAAAAATAGAGTCAAAACAATTTTCAGTGTGATTAATAATATCTGTCATATGTTGCAGTTCGGACCGGAATATCCGTCCCGAGGGGACCCGCCCATTGGGCGGTAACGAGGCTCGCCGAGTTACCGCCCATGGGCGGGTTCCCGAGGGACGGATATTCCGATCCGAACCGCAAACATATGAAAGATATTTTTTCTTGCATATTCTGCCATATTATTTCATATTTAAAATGGTTTACCTCAATATGATATATGTTCATGGAAATTAAAGTCATTTCATCCTATCTATTTTCTTACAATAGCGTATGAACTTACAACTTAAATAACAACGGCGAAATGACGTCATCCTAAGACATATTTCCCTTCTAAAACGACGTCATTTTAACGCGGTTCATTCATAAATGGCGCTAAAATGACGTTGTTGTTTGGCACGCGACTCATCTGGCACCCCCCATGCCAGATGAAATTTCCGGCATGGGTAAAACTCACGGAAACGCCAGTCTGCTATGCAAGAAAAGCTTTTCTTGCATATCAGACTGGCGTTTCCGTGAGTTTTACCCATGCCGGAAATTTCATCTGTCATGGGGGTGCCAGATGAGTCGCGTGTCAAACAACAACGTCATTTTTGCGCGCTTTATGAATGAACCGCGTTAAAATGACGTCGTTTTAGAAGGGAAATATGTGCTAAGGATGACGTCAGTTCGCCGTTGTTATTTAAGTTGTAAGTTCATACGCTATTGTGAGAAAATAGTTATGGATGAAATGACTTTAATTTCCATGAACATATATCATATTGAGGTAAACCATTTTAGATATGAAATAATATGGCAGAATATGCAAGAAAAAATATCTAACATATGTTGGCGGTTCGGATCGGAATATCAGTCCCTCGGGAACCCGCCCATGGGCGGTAACTCGGCAAGCCTCGTTACCGCCCAATGGGCGGGTCCCCTCGGGACGGATATTCCGGTCCGAACCGCAACATGTTATGACAGATATTATTAATGAAACACATGATTTTACAAACCTGTTTTATCGTTTAAAGTTACGCTCTGTAAGTCAATCATCCTCAGAATGTAATAAATTCCTCGGTCGTGTAGATACTGTTTAAAGCCTTCAAGCAATTTTGGGCTAGTCAACACCTTAGATTTAATAATGTATAAATAAAAACGGGATTTGCTTACAAATGGAATGTAAAACTAAATAAAGGCATAGAAGGTGAAGATAGGAATTATATCCATGATTTTCTTAATTTGATATATTATAGAAGGAAAATAATAAATTTCATATACATTTTATTATTGTCTTTTATTAACAAGTTTTGGAATAAAATGGATTACTCTCATTGTGATACATGTACTATTTTAAAGTTGATTATAAACATACCGTTGCGATAAATATGTCAGCATTTCTTTTACGGTTAATGCGAAAATGTTCCCATTGATGAGTAAACAAACCCTTCCTGGACAGGACATTCATCATATCTTCTAGCATGTAATTTTTTCTGAGAAACATAACGGACTTCATTATACGGACTTTGTCGGCTAAAAATGTCTTCTCTTCATCTAAACCGAAAATAAATGTTGCAATATCTTATTTTTTAAAAACAACAACAGCAAAAAAACAACATTTTTACCATAAAAACATTGAACGCACATGATGATTATTCTTTCTTATCATGGTTCAGTTCAAATATATAAGTGAAACATAGAATGCAATCTAATCCATTACATATATACACCTGGAAATAGATTAATTACACCCAGAAATTTATAACTGGTTGTGATTGAAATAACTGACAAGTTTGTCATGAGATGACAACTTAATTGAGCTTGGAAATAGTAATTTGATAAGTAGCAAAACGAATTTAGTAATCATAAACCAGTAAATCTATGAGTTTCTAACCAAGTTATTGAAGCATAAGCAAATGTGTTGTTTTTTACCAAAAATGTTAGTGTTTTATAAGTTAGGTGTTGGAGCGTTTACAAACATTTACTGGTGGATATTTTGGTAAATATTGACGATTATGTAACCTAAAATGACATTATGTAGCCAAATTGTTATATATAAAAAACTTGTGTAACCACCACGTGCCCAAATGATAGCTCCAGCACTTCTCCTCATACAACCAGTAAAGCGTCTAATAGTAAATTTTGCAATTCTTGGTGCAGAGCTTGTTCAAGTTGTTGCGTTGCAGGTTGACAACAGATGGTTCGTACCATTGCCCAAATGAAATTTAAAATTTCCGTTATGGTCATGTCAAAATTGAGGCAAAATGATGGGTGTGATTAACTTATTTTTAGGTGTATATATTGATAACATGTAAAATAATAGAAGAAAAATTTGCAAGCTTCATTATGTAAGGTTCATTATGTAATGAAGCACATATGATCCAAAAGCAAATAAAAAATACTATCAATTAAATCATTCATGGTAAGATTGCAAATTATGGAATATACATGTATTGCACAAAACTATAATTTCTTTAAGTACATAACGCTGCTGAGAGTGTTTCACGCTTGAGTTTAATCACAATTTGTAATTTAGAATCTTCAAATGATTCACAGTGTATAAAAAAAACTTCCTAGCAATGCAACAGATAAATAAAGAAAACGGTGCACGACTAATTGGGTTGTTGCAACATTGAATTACGCGTCATTTGATAGATTTGGCTATATTTTTACGTATTGCCGTTATACAAGGGGGTTAATCCATGCGCGCGCATCCTTAAAGTTCTGATACCGCGAACACTTCATCGGCCGGTATTTCGAAGAAAAACAGGTGGTGTGAAGAAATCAGAAAAGGTATGAATTTAATTTGTTTTGCAAAGAAGATGTCCTAACTTCTAGTTTTTATATACAAAATGTCTTGAAGTAACTCTTTCCTGTTTTGTCAGTATTTCGCGTTGAATGCGATTTTGATTCTGGATAGTGCGTACACCCGGCGTTGAAATGTTACAGAAAATGAGCAAATATCGATTAAACTGGCCGTTTTAAACGGCTGGAAGTTATTCTGTTGTAGAATCCTTTTTAAAAATATATTTTCAACCTTCGTTCCAATTTATTTGTACTAAAAAAGTATTTAAACGCACTTTTTACAGAAAACAGACATTATGATATTGCGTACACTCTAAAATAATCCAGATACTGCGTACACACACTTGTGTTTTTGATACTGCGTACACATAACTATGCTATTGGCGTGTGATTTTGTTTGTTCTTCGTTAGACTTAGAAAATGTTATCAGTTTACGATTGCTTTTAGAAGAATCACTGTACGGGTACATGTATCTTTAAATCACAATGCAGTTATTACTCGCTCATTGATAAAATCATCTTAAAAAGTTTTATTTTTTGTTTCCTTTTTTATTTCTTGATTATTTGTTTTTTAATGTTTAAACTTTATCTACATTACTGGCTTTCTTATTGTAGATACAAAACGTAATCATGAGGCCGAGAAAGTCTAACTTAAGTCTAAACAGACAGAAACAATACTCTGAAAGATTGGAGAGGAAAATACGTAGAATAAAAAAGACTAATTTCAACATTAACTTTCATCTGATCAATCAATATCAACACGACGGGAACTTGTTATCACCTACAAAAATGAACTACGAAAAACGATCAAAACGAAGTCGAGTTCTACCACCAAGGGTTTGTCGTTTTGCCTCAACACCCAGTAAATCACCAGCTTTGAAAAGATACAGAGTATCTGCGTCACCTTTTCATAAACAACAGAATGGTACAGTCAGGACTCATTACAACGACACTTTTGGTACCCAAATGATATGTCAGTATATCGAATTTGTCAGTATATTGAATTTCATCATTCATCATGTAATGATATGCTTATTCACTGGTATCTGAACATTATGTATTTAGATCTAGAATAAACATCTATTATAATGAAAAAGAGTTTTAGTTAAAATAGTTAAAGATTGATATGAAAATGATAAAACTTTATAAAATAAAAAACACATACAATGATAGGACTTTTAAAAGTTAAACCTTAAAAAAGTGATTGTACACTGTTTGTTGACTTGTCAATTAACGAAAAATTTCTTTGATACTTTTTACTTTCTTTATATGAAATGATTTCGTTTTTTTTTGTTCAAAAGTTAAATTAGTCCGTTGACGTTTAGCAGGAGGTTCTGCCATTATTTAAATAAAAAAGTCACAAGTTGGCAAGTGTAACATAATTCAGCTGACAACAACACATTGGTATTGTAATAAGGCGTAACAATCAACTGACCAAGCTACAATACCTGTTTTAACACCTTGCGACATTCGTTCACGGCTCAATAATACGCGCGCTTGACTGACCAAGTGTCAGTTTAACGGGTACTGATTGTATAGAAAATAAGATGTTTGGTTTCCAATTTTATTGTATCGGAGTCGGAATACGAATTTTCCGTTATAAAGGATTATAATAACGTTGAAAAAATTTGGTTCCCATCAATTCACTGTCATTATTTGAATTTGTCAGTATAATGGATTCCGTTGTATTGAGTCCTGACTGTATATATATTTTCAATCTATGTAAGCATATGTATCAATTGGTATAGAATAGAGAAAATGTAAATCTACAGAGAACGTCTAAAACCTCAAAAGTTACAGTGTTACAGTCTCGGTTTAAGTGAGCCTGTCCATGGACGAAACTTAAAGCTCTGGAAAGTTCCAACAAGTTCGTTGTCTTTTACATGTAATACACTGTTACTATACTAGTAATTGTAAGTTGCAGAATGTTGAAAAGAAAAAAAGATAATAAATTAAGCTTTTATTTATAATATTCAGCATTTCTACAGCTTTTTATCAGATAGTCTATTTTTTCTCCAGGCATAACAGTAGAAGAATCAGCACATTGTAAACAAATATCAGCATGTAAACTTAGAAGATTGAAACCAGCCAAACTATCGTTTCAGAGTTTACAGACAAAAGGTAAATCTCATAAAAACTTAAACAAACAAAACAACAAACAAAAACTAACGGACATTATGTTTGTATTTTGTTATATATGTCATGTAATTTTAATGTATCTAATTATTCCTATACACAATGTAGCTTTTATGTAATTTTGTATATTTGAACATATTTAACATGTGAACTATTAAAAGAAAATCATGTTCTATTGCACTGTTTAAACAATTTTACATAACATTATTATTGCAGATGAAATTAAGACGGACCAGACCTTGGATGATCTCGATAACATTCTGTGTTTAGAAGTTGCAGCACCGGATGAAGGAAATTCAAACACGACAGGTTGGTTATTCAAAATATTTGTGTTTATTACATGGTATTTGTGGAAACGGTACAGTAAGTGAAGTAAGACATTAAGTAAGATGTGGTTGATTGTTTAAATTATATTTTATAGTATAATATTTTACTATTACATGTTTTCCTGTGTGCATGTAATTTCAGGAAATTCGTATGAGACAGCAAGCAATGATAAACTGTTTGCAGCTACTAAAGTAAATGAAAGGCAACCAGTCAAATCATCAGTCCAGACCTCCCAAGCAAAGAAAGGTGAATTCCGTTTTATAGCGATTACATCTTTCATTTATTCATTGCCAAATTTGTGTTATTTATTACATACTTTGTTAATATCACTTGTAATGCTTTAGAACTGTGAATTTGTAGAATCATTCTCATTATCTATTATAATGGGAACCAGCCTGTGGTATATTTTAACAACGGACGGGAGTTTAAAACGGTTTAGCGGGAATCATTATAAGCTTATGATTATACGAGATACATGCACTATTGAAATATGAATGAAGGCCTGGTCTTTTTACAACAGGGTGCTAGCTGCTTGTTGAGATAAAGTTTACATTCAATTAGGACATGCTTTTTTATCTTCACTTTTCTGAAACTTTGAAAACTGCCAGCGTCGCACAAAGTCGCACAGCCATGTTTGAATACATGTTTGATCTGAAATTTGGTTCCAGTGTATACATCATGTACATTGAAAATTGACAAAAAAAAATGTATGCGCAAAATATAGACAAACAAACAAGCTGAACGCTTAATGTTTAATGGTAATTTCATATCAATTATTTAGCGCCATTCTGGAAAAAATCGAGGTGAAATAATATAAAAAAATACGTGGATATACTTCTGTTGTGAAGTGTCTTTTTTAAAAAAAATGTATATTTCAATTGTGCTTCTCACTTGCCAATTTATTTTACATATTCACATTATAGTGCGAATAATAAAGCAATTTCACATTTTTTTTATTCCACTAATTAAACACTTTCACAATTCATATCAAATGACGTTTCTTCGTACGACGTTATTTATAAACTGACTGATATCTTAGCTTGCAGTTTCTATCCTTTATCTGAACGGGAAACAAAAATATGTTTCTCATTCAGTTTCAAGCAGTTTGATATGACTTCTTTTTCACTTATATTTTTCAAGAATTTTAGCCCGAAGAGTATAGTATAATATAAAAAAGTGATCATTACCTTATTTTATGTCGATTTTTTATTATAGATGACAAATCAAGTGATGTTGGATCAGTGCTTGACAATAATCATGATCTTTCTGACGATATAAGAGATACAGATTTACATGATATGATGGAATTAGCTCCTTATGTCATTGAGGTATTGCGCAAAAATGACTTGGACAACGTGTTTTTGATGTTTTTCCGACAAGTACACAATAAGCCTGACTCGGTTAAAAATATTGCATTCCTTCTATGGGCTGAGGTGGTTAGATGGTTTCACCAGAATACAAGTGTAACTATGAGATACATGGACAAGACAAAGATGTTTTGGAAATTAGGATGGCAACTCTTCGGTGGAAAATTTCTACGATTTATGTCTGGTTACAAAAATGAATATCAATATGTATCTGGTGACATTGAAAAGGGCATATATAACCCTGCTGATTCAGAAGTAAATTTTGCGGTACCTGATTCGAAAATCTTACGGAATTTCAAGCCATATGGAAGTAATTTTACATGCAAAGGGGTACGAAAACCCGGTATTTTTGAAGATGTTATTGAGAAAATATCGCCAGCACTTTTGAGTACATCTTGCTGTCTAACTTTCGATGGTAAAAAGTTGAAACAAGGACTGACTGAAGCCTCCGGAGATATAGATCTCCTTGGGTTTGAAGAAGGTCCATCATTAAATGATAGACTTAGTGAACTGAACTCTGAATTGGAAAAACAACAAAATGTTATTGACAAGCTGAAAGAGTCTTCGGAAACCGTGCAGGAACGGATGAACGTAAATTTAAAAACGGATCTAAAGCAGAAATATAAACTTATCTCAACGTATATTCAAGAAATTAATGAAATAAAGGAAAAAAAAGAGTATGCACTAAATAAGTTCATGGAACGCGGCGGTAAAGATTGGAGGCAAAGTAAATTTACATATGTTATAAGTGCAATCCAAGCATTCCTGTTTGACATTCAAAAATTTATTTCCAATGCAACTGATATGTTAGAAATAATAAGTAGAAAGCTAGTCGTTATGCAAGGATCGCAGGCTTTTTATATAACCAGACCGTCTGTTGATCGCGATGATTTGAGAAACTGGATAGAAATTCCGGAAGCATCTGGTGAAATCGAAGACCCAAGAAAAATAAAACAACAGAGCACCAATTGGTTTAACATTAGAAGAAAAGCTAAAATAACTGGGAGTACAATTTACAAAGCGATTGGGTTAGAAGGTCTTAAGCAGCAAAAAGAACACTTTGAAAAAGTTATTTGTGGTATTGACGAACCTATGCCAAACGATTTCGTTAAAAATGCTATGGAACATGGATCTAACAATGAGAAAAATGCCGTCGCCACGCTGGTTGGTAAATTCTTGCCTGTTTTTATGCCAGAGTTTCAGTATCAGGAGGAAGGATGTGTAGTTATTGAGGACACTGAAGGTAGTGTGTTCATGGTAGTATCTCCGGACGGAAGTCTTCGTAAGGCAACGGCCCTTCAATCACACCAAAAGAAAGTTGAAGCCGCTATTGAGATAAAATGCCCTGTCAGAAAAGTGCACACACGAATTCCAGATAGATACTACCTTCAGTGCTTATCAGAAATGGAGGCTTTAGAAGTAGAATACCTTATCTTTGTTTCCTGGACTGAAAACACATCAAACATATTCAAAATAAAACGGGATAGTCGAGTGTTGGCGATGGCATCTAAATTGGCATATTCTTTGTATGCGTGTGACAAACCTAAAAAACCGACAAAGTTGCCCGAAGAATTGTCTGAAATAAGAAAAGTGATTAAGGCCAAAATAAAAGAGGTAGAATACCTAGGCCAGTTCAAATCTCTTAAAATAAACACAAAAACGAACGGAGAAGATAACTATTCATCAGAAAATGTGGAAAATGATACCAGTCAGTTGAATAGTGTTAATATCTACATAAGAATTTCAGATATAACAAGACAATGCTACCAACTAAAGCGACAAAAAGCGACAGAAGCTTTAGTATTTCTATGTTGCGATCTTGACCGAACGTGTTCTCAAAATCAAATTATGTGGTCTCCAGTTTGCTGGTGCCCGAAAGGATACTGTTTAACAACAAATACCGTACGCAACTTGATGGAGGTGGTTCTTGACAAATGTTGCAAGGTTGGCATTCATGTTCCATGTTGTTCGTTTGACGGTCAGTGGCATAATATTGCTGTCAGAAGTGTCAAAGGGAAACCATTGACGATAATCCAATTGCAAAAAGACGTTTGGAAAGAAACACAATCTTTAAAGGCAGGTGAGATACAAAAGATATTAAAGGAGGCTGAAAATATACCACAATGGCGTTGGGAACACAGACTACGGAAACAAAAAGGCAGATACGTGAATACACAGATAATAATTTGCACAAACGGGGGACTACGACTTCCAGAAACACCCAACAAAGGATGGCCAACCAAATCTTCCAAGAAAAAGGAACAACAAACCGAAGAGGAAGCATTATCAACAATACCAAACTTGGCCGAGATAGTATCTGAAAACGTTATTGATAGTGCCATTGGTTCATCGAGAAGTACTTCAGTTCTTCAGTGCAATTCCGATTTAGAAGTAGCAGAGGAAATTGCAACATGTAACGTACACGAAGACAACTGGGCTGAAATTTTACAAGACATGCAATCAGAGGAGACAAGTAAGGTAAATAGTTGCGAATTAAGAAGAGATGCTGAAATAGATTTGACCGAGGTTTATAAGGTTATGGTAGATGAGAGAAATGAAACTGTTGAAGACTGTGTTATGGAAACAGAAATTAATCGCAAAGAGACAAACCAATTTAATGCGAAAGATTATAAGGCAATCATTCAGCTCCTGAAAAGTGACAAAGATGCAAACAAGACAGGAAAATGGGACGATAAAACAGAATTTGATGTGGAAAGAATTTTGCAAAATAGAACATCGCTTGCAAGTGTCCGAGATGTAGATATAAGAGTTATAGTCCGCTATCTTAAGAAAGTGAAAAACTTTAAACTGAAAGAGAGTGGCACAAAAGCTAACAAAATAAAGGCAATATTTGAAGTCATTGATGTTCAAACTATTGACTTGTGTCCAGTATCCAATAACTTACACACAAGTGAGAAAAGAAGTCTAAAACCTGTCCAAAGGCTGTCAACACTAGCATTTAAATCTTTGAAGAATGTACCAAAATCAGTGATAAATATCGCATGTGCAGAATATTTGTGGCCCGACAAACTAAATAGTTGGCGCTCTCATAGCCCTATCAAACAAAATATGAAAATCGATGGATTGGATACGTCATATTCTTGGTTTTATGTACCTGAGTTAGTAGACAGCAGAAATCAACTTGAAGTTCGATGTATAGACTCTACACACCTATTGACTAGGACTAGGCGAAAAACTTGTCACGGTGGAATCGAAGGGCTTGATAATAAGCCGTGGTTAAAAGTTGCAAAACAGGGAAAAACACTCCTAACACCAGTTATGGTTGAAGACATCGTTGATTCAATGTCTATGTCAATGGCAGTTACGCATTTCAGCAAACCGGTAAAAAATGCGATGCGAGAAAATGGTGACTTTGAGGCTGCATCATTATGTGAATGTGTGATGGATTGGTGGCATGCTGAAGATGACCCAGGTTTGGATGCAATCGAAAGGTTAAAATTGCGAATGAAACTTCGAAGAAGACTTCTTAGAGATGTTGACTTCGGGTCATTCCCACCACCAGGTTGTTATGTGAAAGGATGGCCCTGTCAGCTTTGGGAAGCTTTAGTTGCAGGGATAGACGCAAAAGCACAGTTATATGCTTTAACAAAGTCCGAAACATATAATACGCGAGCATTTAGTTCTATGATGGGTGAAACCTTCTTTGCTGAACTTACAAATCAAGACAGAGGTTCGCATGGCACAGTCACTGCTGAGGATTTCGGTAGATATATCTATCGCACTATTGAGCAAATGCAAATTAGACTAGATCAAAATAGGTAAGCTTTTTTTATCAACCTATATTAAAGGCTGGCATGAATTCAAAACTGTAAATGTGCATATTATAAAAGTTGCTACTAAACAGATATCAATTTAGATTTCAGGAAATATCATTTAATTAAAATTAAGTTGTGATTGAATCATAATAATTACTTTTTGATGATTTTTAATAATTTATTTGGGCCGTTAATGCTGTGTTTCTTTTAATCTTTATTTGTAATTAAGGGATTTTTTTATCAAATTCACACAGGACTTTGACAAAAAATCTTGAACAAAAAAGTAAGTTTTCTTAGAAATGAATCTTCGGTAAGCGATCTATGGCCCCTATGACCCTTTTGTTTCACATATCTTTACTGATGATTCTTTTCAGGAGTTTTGTGTACAGAACATCAGCAAAGACACCGTATAGACTGGTAGACAGATCTGATTTTTTCTTCAATTCAGTAGCCGATACTTCTGTGAATCAGCACCAAGATAATAATGTGACTATTTTGAAAACACCATTTATAACTGCGATATCTCCAAGGTAATTTCTTAAAATGTATATTTAACATCTTTCCAAAAGGCAAACAATCACCTTTTTCTTTTGTCAAAGCTTCACCGTTATGTTGATGTTCACTATTACCAATTTTACTTAAGTGTATTATTGTTCTTTCTTTATTTATTTCTTTCATTTTTGCTGTAAATACATGAATAATGTGAATAAACATAGGTTTTTGCATCTTCTTTTAGAAACCATTTCTTTGATAGCGAAGAACGGAAGAGATTAAAAGGGAAAAAAAGAGAAGCAACCGTTTCTAAAGATAGGAACGCAGTGCAGAAGGGCAGTCTTGGTGTACGATGGGAGAGAGCACGACGGAACGAATCAAAAATGTTATTGTCTGACCGCATGGGGATAACCCACAAAGAACAAGGAAACCTCGTTTGAAAATATCCTATAGATTAAGAAATATAAAGGCAATGTTTCATAAAAACACCTTAAAGACTATTGGTTTGTCGAATCATGATAATAAGTTTTCGAATGATATGATAACGAAATGTATATTAAGTGTACAATGATAAACAGATATTCGAGTTGGATCGCGAGAACTATCTGCATGGACATAACCGAAGTTATTTATAGAAATACAACGTAATGGAAGACTATTATGAACAAGTATTTTATCATGGTAATGTACATCTCCATCTTCAAGTGTTCATAACATCATTTAAATATGTTGATTTATTAATTTTGTTTGTTTTACTTATTTGTATGAATAAAAATATTTAACAACACATTGTTATTGCTTGGGTTCCGGCCCTTTATTCATAACATAACAAAAGTAAAATATAAAAAGAAAATAACAATCTTACACTGTTCCATTACAATAAAAAAAACAATTTGCAGAGATAGCCGTATAAGTATATAAAAGTAACAGCATTCACATTAAAATATTTAACTTGCTGAAAATATTAAATAAAAACGAGCCGTTTCTTCATAATTCATCTTTTTTCTCTTGGTTTCCTTATATATGCATTTGCTAATGATTTCGATATACCAGTTCAAATGTATATCTCTGTTTGGCAAAGAAAAAATAAGTTCAGAAAGCTAGGGTCTTCATACAAAAATACATTATGTTTTAAACTAGAGAAAAAATATAAAATGGAATATATCAAAAACATTCCATGACTGAAACTTGTGACTTGAGTTTTGATATAGAATACAAACATTTCAAATACAAACACAATTAATGAAATACTTCAAAAGTTATGCTGCGTACTATTTGTGTACGGACGGAAAACGCCATCTTATTAAGTCCCGACAGTGGAAATCAATAAAATCTGTAAAAAAAAGCATTTTCTTAATTTTTCTTGATTACGAATAAAATCAAATTGTGGATAAAAACGATTATTAAGTTTAATAGTCCAAAAAAAATTTAAAATAAATTTTGGAAATATTGTTTACTGATGAACTAACTTTTTCATCAAATACCAATACCCCATTAAAATATAAGCCTATCCGTTTCTTCCGTAAAAACAATTGATCTTTAAATATTTGTTTTAAATTTTACTAGGTAAAATTCTAGAAACTTAAAAATAGAAAAAAATATTATAAAAGATAATGAGAACAAACTTCTCATTTCTTAAATTTCTAAAATTTTCATACTTTATATGATAACAATCAGAAACCCAATTTATGTTTCCATGATCCATGGACAAAAAACATTGGTAAATTAAATAACACAAGAAAATAGCCATATATTTGTAACTTGAACTAAAAAATGGTTTGCAAGCAAGTTATTTTTTTGGAAAATGCGTTGTCATGTTCTACGAACTTTTAACTGTGTTTTCCTTTTTTCATGTGTTCCTTAAGAGTTTTGGTATTACTGAAATAAGCTTTTTTACAAATACTTGCACTTGAACAGGATCTTTTACTTGCATATGAGAGATGGGACGAAATAGCTGCTTTGCCTTGGAAATTTTTTTCCAACAATGTTCACAAAATGTTAAATTCATTCCCTTCCCGTGCAATTTTGGAGTGTCTGTAAAAGATTGCAATTTAACCTGAAATGCCCTTTGCCACACTTCTCCAAAACCATTTATGACGTTTTCTATTATCGTTGCTTATTCTTTGTGATCACTAAGATCTTTAATTATTTAGAGAAGGCCAAAACCACACATTCGATTCACAATTTGAATTCCTTTGTTTGGCTCTTTCTTTGTTCATTGCGGTTTTTTAAATCATGAGATGTCTTGAACGATTTGCCACACTTTACATTGGTACTTGCGTTCAGAGGAATTGTGACCGCTTGCATTGTGTTTTGTAATGGTACTCTGAAAAAGCCCACTGTGACTAACAAATATCCACATTGGTAGGGGGCCATTCTTAGCCGATTGTCGTGCCTCTTTGCTGTCTGAGAGAAGAATTCACTGGCAAAGAATTCACCAAACAAAAATCGGACCACCACATTCCATTTTCTGAAATAAGAATAAAATTTGACTGTAAGAAATTAATTTATTTTGAAAATGTAGAGTATAAAAAAAATGATCAAGATAGACAATTATTCACCATGCAGGTTAATACATAAATACCGTAACAATTTGCCCATAAATAAAATGTTAATTCTAAACCCCATTTTCTAGAATGTAGAATTTTAAAAATAAATTCTTTCCCAAACCCGGGAACACCCATGCCAAAAACCCCCGCTTTATCCATTTTATAAACATTAGACTTGCTTCGAATAAAATGTTACTTTCTAGGCAATTGCATAAGTTATGTGTCGCGCCAGGTATCTGGAATATTTTAGAGTGTACGCAATATCATAATGTCTTTTTTCTGTAAAAAAAAGTGGCGTTTAAATTTACTTTTTTTAGTTACCAAAATGAATTGGAACGAAGGTTGAAAAATATTTTTTTAAAAAAGGATTCTAAACAGAAATAACTTCCAAGCTGGTTTAAAACGCCAGTTTAATCGATTATTTGCTCATTTTCTGTAACATTTCCAACGCCGGGTGTACGCACTATCCAGAATCAAAATCGCATTCAACCGCGCGAAATACTTGACAAAACCGGAAAGATTACTTCAAGACATTTTTGTATTTAATAAAAACTAAGAAGTTAGGACATCTTCTTTGCAAAACAAATTAAATTCATACCTTTCTGATTTCTTCCAACCACCAAAACCTGTTTTTCCCTTCGAAATACCCCGGCCCGATTGAAAGTGTGGCCCGCCCGGTATCAAACTTTAAAAGGATGGCGCGCGCATGGGATTAACCCCCTTGTTATAAATTTCTGAATAAAACGACAGTGTTTGAATAAGTGAATATCTTAAAGGTACGTATATACTTTAAATATACAATAAAAAACGTACACTGACAGACCAATTTGTCCAGAAATAACCAAGTAAGATAAATAGTCCAATTGTAAACAGTTGAGCCTGATAATTTCTTCAAATTATTTTCACTAAAATCTACGTTTAACGTCTATTTTGTGGACGGGCAGGGGAAATAACATACTTCCCTAATCGAAAATGAATTTCCATTGTCAAAAATTTTTTAAAAATTTCTTATCAAAATTTGCACACAATGATAGGGGTTAATGTTTTTTACCATATTACTTGGTTATTTTAACAGCATTTTCCTTACAAAAAAACCGAAACATTTTGGCGGCATGGGAAACTCTACATAGGGGAAAAAAGAAACTTACTATGGGAACAGAAAATTTAAAATGCAAGTAGCGACATTTTTTTTGGACCATTTGATCTAATCTTGTGGAATGACCTACTGTTAAGCAGCCAGATGCAAAGTTAGATATGAGAAACTTATTTGACATTTTTCTTATTATTTCTAGAACAAGGATATAGACTTGACCAATCAGAATATATCATGCTTGAACAATTACTTCTCTTCCTAAATAAAAGCTTTAGATTAAACATATCAGCGTATTTACAAACCTCGTCTAACAGAAAGAAAAAGACTGGACAATTAATAAACTTAATGTCGCACAGAAATAGAGACTTTGACAAAATATACTTCGTCTAAAAGAAAGGTAGAAACAATCACTAAATGCTTTGTCCGACAAAAGGAAAAAATGACTGATCAGCAGTTTTAATGTCTTACAAAAGGATAACAACTTAACTAACAAGCATTTTAATGTGTTACATAACGACAAATATCTGACAAATAAATGAATTCTTTTTCATCAAAAGGAAAAAACCTAACTATTCGTCACTTTTATGCGTAACATTAGAATAGAGACTTAACTTAAAGGCATATTAAATGACCAACAGATGGATATAAACAAGAAATGTCATGAATGTCAGTCAGGGTTATCTATTGTTTACACGGTGCTAGAAAAACCTGTCTTATGTAAGACGAATCGCGTGCTTTAATTGACGTCATCCACACGTGCTTTTTATGAATGAATTGCATTCTTAGGTTGACGTCATTTTGCCGTTATGGACGAAGTTGTAAATTCATACGCTCCTATAAGAAAATAGAACTCAATATAATACCAGGTTTGTAATATCTTTTCAAAATATCATTAATATGTAATATCAAGGAAAAATAATCAAACACTTGATGTCTAAACAGAATGATAAACTTTTGAGCTGTCAATACATTCTCTGTTAAGGCTTGAATAACAATAATATATTTCGTATAACAATCGGGTGAAGATTTGAATATGAAGTACAATAAATACCTGACAGAAAAAGAGAAACTCGAATAGTAACTACATTCTTTGTCTTAAAAAAGGATCAATACATGACCAATCAGAAATGTCATTGTCAGACAATCAACATACAATATATATAACAGGATAAAACTTTACCCTTTGCTATATCCTTTGTCGAAATGAGAATAGAGAACTGACCAATTAGCATATTTTATGCCTTATATTAGGAAGAAACTACAGTTGTCAGCATATTTTAAGTGAATTGGTCTATAAAGACGGGTCTTTTATAGAATAAATAATAATAATGATAGTACTGAATATCATACATGACCTCAAAATACAAAATAATTTTATATGGACGTAATTGGTAGTTGTAGGAAACATGGTTCGATATAGAAGATGACAAATTATTCAAATTATTTTTCAATATCTAACTGACTATACTAAATAATTATATGAACTTAAGCAACATTTGATTCAAAAAATTTCTAAACGAATATCTAAATGAATAATTTGTTTTGTTTAAGATATTTGAAACTGATACAAAATATGCCTTTGCTGAACAATCTATTTTATAGTCTTACAAATGTGTTTTCTTTTGACTATCAACATATCAAATTATCAACAGGAAGATGAAAAATCTTCAATCCCTATATTTCATGTATAACAGTCATCATATTGCACATGTTAAAGGAAAGTTGAATTTGAAAAAAAAATGGAATATATGAAAGATAGTTGAGAAGAATGTAAACACTTTATATAATAACATATTGTTTTCCATTAGGATTGCAACTGTATGAGTTGAACTTCAAATCAAACTCTTCACCAAGATATTTTAATATATGTACCTGGGATTTCGATAATCATATTACTTTTTTATTTTCAAGCATTATTTCACATCTTAAATGGATCTTGGTCAAAATATTTAAAATAAATGATAGGTATATATCTTGCAGCTTAACCACAACTTTCGTATTCAATGCATTATTCAGTAAATTCTATCAAATACTTTAATCTAATTTCACGTACCCGGCAATGAGTGTAAATCGTCAATTGATGTCATCTCATAGGTACTCTCCGCCGTGCTAGTCCCTTTTGCAACTGTTACGTCACTGGAGACTTATAAACAAGAAGCATTCACTCATTACAATGAATAAAAAATTAAACTTTATTAAAAATATAAAATAATCTTCTCCATTCTACGTATTTGAGGTAAAAATCTTTGAAATTTCAAAATAAATTATAACTCTTAATATTTTGCCCCGTTTAATATTATAATGGCTATCAAATCAGACAAACGTGCGTATGTTTTTATTTTTTTAAAACTGATTGAAAAATACTATTTAAAACCTGATTATTTCATATGTTCTATTATTTACGGAAGCGTCCTGGTGCCAAACCATAATGTTCTATAAAAAAAAATAAACTCCTACGCAGGAGATAAAAAAGCCTAGGACTTTATAACTCCTACGTAGGACTTTATAACTCCTACGTAGGAGATAAAAAAAATCCTAATTAGGAGTTTGTAACTCCTACGTAGAACTTTTAAACTCCTACGTAAGACTTTGTAAGTCCTACGTAGGACTTTGTAACTCCTACGTAGGACTTTATAACTCCTACGTAGGAGATAAAAAAGCCTAATTAGGAGTTTGTAACTCCTACGTAGGACTTTTAAACTCCTACGTAGGACTTTATAACTCCTACGTAGGACTTTATAACTCCTACGTAGGAGATAAAAAAGCTTAATTAGGGGTTTGTAACTCCTACGTAGGACTTCATGTTTCTAAATTCGAAATTTTACTATTTCATGTTTGAATGTTGAATTCTGCTTAAGCCGGTGCTAGGGGGCGTGGACGGTAACTTGCACTTTCCAGTACCGTCCATGAACAGGCTCAATTAAACCGAGCCTGCAACATTCTCAATTTTGCCGTGTTGGGCTTTCTTTAGGGAGTCTGTATTTATCTATTTTATGATCACATCCGTGTTATTTGTGCCGTTTAGTGGCTGTAAAAAGTTTCCCCGTACATTTAATCAATGATATGTTATATTTTCGATCCTTGAAGTTCGTTCAGCACGACATTATTGTTGTGCTTGTGGTTTTTTTTAGTTTTCAACTTTTTCGGCATTTTTTCTAGTTGGGTGGTTCCAATATTCCCTAACTTGAATAATGATGAATAACCCTTGGGATATGTTGCCTGCTTTTTAAATTTGTCTTTTGGACGTCTTTATCTGTGATACGCAGCTTCATAACCTCTGATCCCCTTTCAAAATACCATTTTATTTAGTTCCGCCCATTGTTTTCTCGTTTAGGGCACACGCTTTTTATTACTTGGGGACCATACGCCGCTTTTCATGGAATGGCACGGAAGTGTCACATTGAAGGTTCCAAGAAAACCACGCCGTATGAACACATCTGCGGATGTTTTCTAAATTTCGAAAAATTTTACTGAATTTCATGTTTGAATGTTGAATTCTACTTAAGCCGGTGCTAGGGGGCGTGGACGGTAACTTGCACTTTCAAGTACCGTCCATGAACAGGCTCAATTAAACCGAGCCTGCAACATTCTCAATTTTGCCGTGTTGGGCTTTCTTTAGGGATTCTGTATTTATCTATTTTGTAACTCCTACGTAGGACTTTTAAACTCCTACGGAGGACTTTATAACTCCTACGTAGGATACATATCAAAGTACTGAAAGCACAGAGTTCGACGAACATGTATGCTAGAGTATAACTTAAGATAGCATATTATGTAGGAAAAAAAATTATATGATCCGCGCCATGACAAAACCAACATAGTGCATTTGCGACCAGCATGGATCCAGACCAGCCTGCGCATCCTCGCAGACTGATCAGGATCCATGCTGTTCGCTTACAAACCCTATTACAAATAGAGAAACTGATAGCGAATAGCATGGATCCTGATCAGACTGCGCGTGTGCGCAGGCTGGTCTGGATCCATGCTGGTCGCAAACGCACTATGTTGGTTTTGTCATGGCGCGGCTCATATGTTTCAAGTTGTTATTGTGCAAGCCGCTTTTGTAAATACCTTAAGTCTGTAGCCAGATATGATTTTGTCATTCTCTGCATATATTAAACGATGATTCTGTATTATGTACGTTTAGTTATATTTATTATACACAGGTACACAAAATGTATGGGTTAAACTTTGTTCAAACTAGGATATACAATGTAATTCATTATTAAACATATGCATGCATAGTGCTCCGCAAACCGTTATCTTCTTAAACTTTACGGAGCAGGAACAAGACACTTCACTACTCCCCCTGCCCCCAATAAGGATTTAATCATTTGCAACGGCCGAAAATGGATAAATTGCTCGTTTTGTTCAGCTAGTTCGTATGGGAAACGTAATCGTTAAAGCCATTTAAAATTTTGATATATATGCTTGTTGTCGAGTAAGTTTTTTTCGAATAGCTGTAAAGCAATTTTTCGGGATACATCGCCAATGCTTACAGACACCTCACCCTAAGACACTGTACACATCTAGAAACCTGAGACACTTTATTAAAGGGTGAAGTGTGGCGGCATGGCCGTGTGACTAGAAGCCTAATGATCGCTAGCCGCATGGGTTCAAACCCCGTTAGGCGCAAGCCGTTGAATCCTTGAGCAAACTTAAGAAACTTTACTCTCATTGCCAAGTAGATACTGGTTAGTTCAGGAACGGATTCGAAAGTGTGTCTATAAGCTTATAGCTTCCTACACAATCAAACTTAAATAAATTCTGTTTGAACCAAAGGTGAAATGTCCTCTATATTAAAGATTTGAAATTTCGGCCGGGGGGTGGGGGGTGGGGTAAAGTGTCTTGTTCCTTCGCCATATACCGGTCCGGAATGTTGAGATTTGCAAAGCATTCTATATGCATTTTTTATAAAAACATAAAGTCCTACGTAGGAGATACAAACTCCTAATTAGAATTTTTTTATCTCCTACGTAGGAGTTATAAAGTCCTACGTAGGAGTTAAAAAATCCTACGTAGGAGTTTAAAAGTCCTGCGTAGGTGTTATAAACTCCTAATTAGGCTTTTTTATCTCCTACATAGGAGTTATAAAGTCCTATGTAGGAGTTATAAAGTCCAACGTAGGACTTTGTAAGCCCTACGTAGGACTTTATAACTCCTACGTAGGACTTACAACGTTTGAAAGTCTTACGTAGGAGTTACAAACTCCTAATTAGGCTTTTTATGCCCCCACAATGTGGGGGCATATAGCGTTGCACTTGTCCGTCCGTCAGTCCGCACTCACAGGACAGTAATTATGTGGCTAGAGGGACAATAGGTAACTGTTCTTTCTCTTTGATGTCATTCATTCCGTAATGCTTTTATGTGGCTATTTTCTTTTATGTGGCTAAAAAGAACAAAAGAGAGAGCAATGGAGTAGCCACATAATTACTCTCCTGTTAGAACGTCCGTCCGTCAGTCCGTCCGTCCGTCCGTACGTCCCGAAATCTTGTGAACGCAACTCCTCTTAAACCGGATGGCAGATTTTGCTTAAACTTACAGGGATGAACAACCTTAATGTGTAGATGGTAGTAAACGAAGGAATTTTTGCTGCGACCAAATTTAACAGAATTATGGACCTTTGTTGATTTTTTCACTATATACTACCGGTGTGTAAAATTTTGTGAACGCAACTCCTCTTAAACCGGATGGCGGATTTTGCTTAAACATCCAGGGATGAACAACCTTAATGTGTAGATGGTAGTAAAGGAAGGAATTTTTGCTGCGACCAAATTTAAAAATTATGGCCCTTTGTTGATTTTTTCACTATATACTATGTAGAAATTTTGTGAACGCAACTCCTCTTAAACCGTATGGCAGATTTTGCGTAAATTTACAGGGATGAACAACCTTAATGTGTAGATGGTAGTAAAGGAAGGAACTTTCGCTGCGACCAAATTTAAGAGAATGATGGCCCTTTGTTGATTTTTTCACTATATACTATGTAAAATTTTGTGAACGCAACTCCTCTTAAACAGGATGGCAGATTTTGCTTAAACATCCAGGGATGAACAACCTTAATGTGTAGATGGTAGTAAAGGAAGGAATTTTTGCTGCGATTAAATTTAACAGAATTATGGCCCTTTGTTGATTTTTAGTTTTCAATTTGTGGCACATGTAGTCAAAAAAATATTTGACCTAGAGACATTAGATTGACAGAACAGTGGCGTGTGGACACATTTCTAGTTTATCTCTTACGTAGGAGTTTATTTTTTATAGAACATTATGCATTGGCACCAGGACGCTTCCGTAATTATTGCAACCGACAATGAGTGTAACTCATTCTTTGATGTCATCGCATAGATACTCTCCGGCGTTTCAGTCTCTTTAGCAACTGTAACTGCGCTGGAAACTTTGAAAGTAGAAGCATTTTACGCATATAAACTGACGTTTTCATTCTATGTATTTGATGTAAAATTCTTTAAATTTTCATCTTAAATCTTTTCCTCGCCTGACATTATAATGACTTTCAAATGAGACAAATATTGCTATTTTAAAAAACTGATTGAAAAGTACTTTTCCAAACCTGATTCTTCTAAAGCTTCTAGCATAGCACCGACATCCATAGATGCTTTGAGAGTAATATCACCGCCATGATGACGTGAGAATGAGTCAGCAACCTTCTTCAAGCTGTCCGAGAATTGCTTTCCATGGAATGATTGTAGCATTAGAGGTAAAGCTTCCTCAGATTGTAATTCAATATTCAGAAACAGAGAGGTCTCGCTTTGATTAATTAGTTGTTTTTCTTTGTTTACAGCTGTACGCCTTTTCCCCTTTCCTTGGTTTTTGTGAATATGGGTCATAAGGGTGATTTCTTTACGACGTATCGTCGCTCTTCCCCCATTTTTTAGGGTTTCCTTTTTTTTAAAAAAAATGTTATAGGGTGAACAGTACAAAAAAATAATTTTGAAAAGGGGGGATTTTGTATTTTATCATCTTTTTTTATTTAAAACAAAAAATTTAAAAAGTTTTATTTTAGTAAGTTTAAAAAGGAAAGGCAAAAACCCCTTTCCCAAAATCCCAAAAACCCTTTTACATTAATTTTAATACATTTTTTTTAAATAAAAATTTGAATAAACTGCCAAAAAAAGATGCTTTGGATAGTTTTAAAACTAATTTTAAAATACTATTTTTTCATTATATTTTATTCCTTTTGTCTCAATCACAAATATAAAGGGAACACACAGTTTAAGGGGGAAAAACAAAAAAGATTTAAAGTAAATTTTTTCATGTAATTACTTATAATGTCAATCAATTCGATCAAACTTTTTGATTAATTGGGAAAGTGATGTATCCATAATTTTTGGCCCTTTTTGAAACCCATGAAGGGAATTTGATTAAATCATTTAAATAAATTGTGTTTCCTTTTAATTTTTCTTTCTTTTTTGAAAATGTAAAAAGCTTATAGTCCCTTTTCACTCAAAAAACGGAATGATATTTCTTTTAAATCCCTTTTAATACAAAAATCTTTATTGTCTCTAAATAGCCCAAGCATTTTTTAACATTTTCCCTTTAAATTTTCCCGAAAAACCCCCATCTTACTTCCATGTTTTACATTTTTTTGGGAAAATTGTCTTTTAAAAGTGTATTAAAAAAAGTTTTCCAGGTTTTTAAGGGAAAGGCCACCCATAACCAATTCTGTTTTACACCCAACTGTATATAATAACAAAAAAAACATTTTTTATGAATTTTATAAGTTTCATGAGCTTAAGATGTTAATTAGAAATTAATTTAAAGAAATTTTTGAAACAACCCTTTTTACCTACACCCCCGGAATTCTACTTTTCAAAGGATATGTTTTAAAAAATGGATATACCCAAAATAAACATAAAACCTTTTTAAAAATCTGTTCTTTTTCCAAAAATTGTTTTAAATAAACGAAAATGAAAAATTTTTAAAAAGTCAGGCCCCTTTTTTTTGCTTTTTCTCCAAAATTGCGAGTTTAAAAGGGTTTCATTTTTCCCCTTTTTTAAAATTAGGTCAATTTAAAGCTTGTCCCCCTAAAGTGTATAGGGGAATAAAGGGGGTAGCTAATTTTCCCTAAAAATCGGGAGAATTAATTTGTAAAAAAAAAAAAAGGTTGTATAAAAAATTAGTTTTTCACACCTTTAAAATTTTTTTTGAATAATGGTAAAAACCCTTCAACGTGGGAAGATGGTCTTTTCGGGTGCAAAAAATAAGAAAATTTAAAAGTATCACTATCAAAATAAATTTAACATTTTTTTTTTTAAACTTAAAATAAAATTAAATTTTATTTTTCAGTTGGAAGTAAAAGGAAATTTTCTTGATGTGTTTGGTTTAGGTATTTCCTATTAAAAAAGTGAAAGTTCTTTCCTTATTAAAAAACTGTTTTTATAGTCATTTTATTTTAAAGGACGTTTCTTTTTAAAATTAAAATTTTTGAAGAAAAAAAGGTTGTTAATTTAAAAAAATTAAAACCCAACCCTAAAAAGACTTTCAAAACCTTTTGGAAACCCTTTTATAATCTTGTTTTCCTTTTATCTTTTGAAAATTTATTTTTTTTTTTAAGGTTCTTAAATTTGCTACCCGGGTTTGTTTTAAAATTTATTAAAAATCAAAAATTTTACAGATAATGAATATACGGGATTTTCGATTTAAAATGAAGAAAAATACAAAACCATGCTTTTTAAGGTTTGGGATTTTCATACGTCAAATTGAATTTCAAATTTGTTTTTTTTTTATTTTCTAAATTTCATTTTTCGGAAATACATTAAAGATTTGGATTTAGTTCAATTGTGGCACAAATATTATAAAGAATATTTTTAAAACTTCCCTTCCCATTTGGTCCCCAAATAAAATCTTTCCCAGTGCCATTTTGTACAGGGAGTCTGTTTAGTTTTTAAAAGTTTTTAAAAATGGGAAATAAAAAATTGAAAATTTACAAAGTAACTAAAAGATTAAAAACGTTTGGGAAAATAATTTTAAAGGGGGTTAAAAATATTTTTGAAGGTTTTTTACTACCTTTATTAATGGCCGGAAATAAATGTTTGATGTTTGGGTTTTAACAATGCTGTTGTTAAATGAAATTTTCGAACGTTGATGCTAATGTTTTTAAAAGTTGTATTATTTTTTCTATTATTTTCATATTTTTTCATTAGAGCCCCAGTAGTGCGTGCATAAAAGTTTCGTTTCTTTATATATCTTAAAAATTTAAGCTTGTCCCTTTTTCCGATTTTAAAATTTTCTCCCCAAAAAAAAATTATCAAAAAACCAAACTAACAGTTGCAAGTCCCCCCAGGGTTTAGTCAGCTTTTTCCAAAACTTTTTTTAAACAATTTTTTTTGGGAAATTTCTTGTCGTGGGAAAAATGGGTTTTAGTTTTCGGTTCATTAATTTTTAGTAAATTTTTCCAGGTTCATTTTTCAGCTTTTTGACATCTTTGACTTTAAAAAAATTTTTTTTTGATATATATAAACACCTTTGTTAATAAAAGAAAAAAGTTTAAAAAATATATGTTTTCTTTAGGGAAACCCTTAAACCCCTGGGTGATTTACATTTTTTTGTAAAACTTGTAATTGTTCTGAAAAAAAAACAAAACTAAGTTGAATTTTTTTGTGTTTAAACCTATTTTCCCCTTGATAACAACACAAACGTAATTTGAAAATAAAAAGTTTGAGGGAAACTTAAGACTTGTAGTGATAATTTTAAAAATTTTTCTGACTTTAAAAATCAAAAAAGTATTTGTATTTTAAAGATTTTTAAGATAGAGGAAAAAGTAACTATGTAAATTTTTGGGAATTTTTCTAAAAGGGCGTTGACATTTTTTTTGTAAAATTTGGGAAATTTTTAAGAACTTCTTTTTTTTCCCCTTTTTAAATTTTGGCCCCCCCTCCCTTTTTTTAAAAATTTTTTTAAAAAAAGGGGTTAAAAAAACCAAAAAATTTAAAAATTTCCCTTTTTGCATTTCTTATAAAAAAGTTTAAAAAAAAAACAACCCTTTTAAAAAAAAGTTTTTTTGAAACCCAATTGCCCAAAAAATGATCATACACTTCAATTTTTATTCAAAAAATTTTTTAATATTTTTTTAATTTTTTAAATATTTAAGAGGGATTTAAAAGGGTTTTTGCAGTTTAATTTAGGAATTTCAATCGAAAATAAAGCGCTGCATCAGGGTTTTTCTTTTAAAAATTAAAACCTGCATTTGGGGTTAAATTCCCTTTTGGTATGAAAAGAATTAGTTTAAGGGTTCGCCCCCTAAAGATTCGCCACAAAAAAGATTCGACACAGTCAAATAAAGATTTTGCCAATCAAATAACATTTCGCCACCCGTCAAAAAAGATTCACCCCCAGTTTAAAAAACCTTACTCCCCTTTTCAGATTAAAGGGTTTAAATTTTCCCCTTAAACCCAAGGGAAAAGGTGTTAGTTTTTGAATCGAAATCCGGATACTTTGGTAGCTTTTGGGGGTTTTAAACCTTTGCATTAACTTTAAATTAAAGAAAGTTTGGTTTGAAAAAATTTGTTAAATTAAATTTTTATTTTTTAATAAAAAAAATTTTTTTGGGGCCCCAAGTTTTTTTTTCAGTAGCATTTTAAAAAAAGGGTACTGTAATGTATCTTTTTAAACTAAAGGTTTTTATAGGTTTTTTTTTTTTAAAAAGTTTACAAAAAAATTTTGTTACTGGGGTTGTAAAAAATGTTTAACAGTCAAAAATTAAATTATCACATAACATATTTTTTACACACATTAGATTGTAGAAATTACAATTATTTTACATAAAAAACAACTGTTTTACAAAACCCAAAATTTTTGCAGCAAACTAGGGTATTTAAATATTTATGATTTTTTTTTAAATAAAACGTTTATTACGAAAATTGTTACATCTTTTTTTGGCTACATAAAAAGTTTTTGCATACTTTAAAATTTTAATTTGTTTTTTTTATATGTAAAACTTTGGGGGTTATCTAAAATTGACTGGCTTTTCTTTTTTCTGTCTTATTTTAAAAGTGGCACTATGCTAAATTTTCCTTTCCCATTTAACCCTAAAAAACTGGTTCAAAAAGTTTGGGAAAATTTTATGATAGTGAGTTTTTAAAAGACAAAAATGCTAAAGATAAAAAAACTTTTGATACGAGGTGCTGTTTTCCCTTTATAAATCCCCAGCAACATAATTTTGAGCGCGTAAACCAAACAAAACCAAAAAAATTAGGTTGCGCCCCAGAGGGTCCGCCCAAATGCAAATCCGGGCAGTTATGGGAACCTGTTTTTTCCCCCCCTTTTTCAGTTTCCTATTTTTTTAGGTTTGGGTAAGGGAAAAGCAGGGAAAACCCGTTTTAAAGAATGCGGTTTTTTTCCCGAGGCGGGTTTTCGGGAAAAATTTCCTTTTCGGGGGTCCCCCAAACCCTTTAAATTTTTGTTTTTTTTTTTGGCCCGCAAGTTTTATTTTTTTTAAAAATCACTTTTATTTTACCCACCCGTGAACAATTTAAAATTAAAATTAGCCCTTTGTCCCGGGTCCCTTTGGGGGTTAATTTTTCGACTTTTATATGAAACAAAAGTAACGTAAATTTTCCCAAAAGAATTAAATTTTTTACAAATTAAAATTTAATTATAAAACTAAATCTACAGAAATTTTTAAAATAAAGAAAAAAAAGGGGAGAAAAAATTTCCCAAAATTTAAAAATTGGGAATTGGTTTTGGAAATGATTTTTTTTCCTTTGGGTGTGTGTATTTTAAAATTTTGAAAACCCCAATAAAAAAATATATTTTCTTAAAACTTTTATGATTTTTTTTTGTTTTTTTCAGGAAATTTTGGGTAAAACAACCTTTCGGGCCGGGGCTT